AAAATAAAAAGTGCCAGAAATGCCTTCTGGGGCTCCACGCAAGATCTCCCCCCATGGGGTCAAAATGATCACAAGAACGGTGAGCAAAAATCCCAGAACCACACTGGGGGGACCTAATGAATGACCTGAAGAGAGCTGGTACTACAGAAACAAAGGCTACCATCAGTAACTCTCTACGCCGCCAGGGACGCAAATCCTGCCGTGCCAGATGCATAGGCGGGGCAAACAAAAGATTTAGATAAAGATTTAAAGTGCTTTTAGTCATGTGCACAGTAGGAAAACCAGTGTCCTGTTAAATGAAACTATGGTTTTACTGTCCACATCACTGTGCATTATTATTTCTGTCTTTCCTGGCCGATAGTTGCCCCTTAAAATAAAGCAACTGGTATAACTGGCAACTTTTAAACTGGTATATAAGAAGTTGCACAAACATAAAGTGGTTAAGGAAGCCAGCTTTGGTCCAGAAGGTTTCAGGTTCAAGTCCACCAGCTGCCAAGGTACCACTAAGGTGCTCTGAGCATGGCAAATATATATAAACCCATTTACATTTACAATATATATGTGTGTGTGCATATATGTATATGTGCATGTATAGTAATTTTTAAAAATGTTTTTTCTCATTTACAACTTTTTCTCTTAGTTCCATTACAACATTATCCTTTTATTATTCTCTATGTGGTCCTAATATTCCATCATAAAAAATGATGGAAGAATTGGACTCAAACATGAAATCTTGCAGTCCCAAACCCACTTCCTTAACCACCAAGCCACTATATAGATACAGTATATATGTACATACGTAAGTCAAATTTTATGAAAATGAAGTTGCACGTTTATAGGGTTTATGACTTCAAAGTAAAACAGCAACTTGAAGTGAAAATATAAAGCACAAACAGGTGTTCCCCTCATTTTTATTATTTTGTTTAACACAAATCTACTAATCATACCTCATCCTTACTACTGAAATCATTAAAAGTAACTTTTTTCTAAAATGCACACAGCACAGACATCAGTACCATTCCTTGGTCTGTAACTGGCATTGGCCACAATTAAAACAAAAAACAATAATAATAAAAAAAACATAAAGCAAAAGTTCAACACACTTGAGATTATCCACCTCCTTCCTCCCCCTTGTGAAAATGCGTATCTACAGATGTCAACAGCAAAAGACATGAGATGTCAGTGAGGTTCTGGTCAGAGCTTGAGTCAATGTCACTTAAAATATTAATTATTTTAATACAGAGAACCACAAGCAGCATTTTAACCTAATGTATGACTTGTTAAAACTTTTTAACTTTTTTTTAGTTCTTCTCGTTTAAAAGCAGACGGCTGCACCAGCTAAGGTTCCTTGATGTCATTTCATTACTCTGCCAAGAAGCTGCTTAAGCTCTGTCAAATAAAGCGCACTCAAAAAATATTGGGTGGCCAAGGAATACCGAAGCTGAAGAGACACAAAGACAGAATACATTTTGCCATTGTTCACAAATTATGGAAATTGATGATGATTGAAACTTTTTTTTGCCCCAGATTTCACAATGCAGAGAGCTTTGCTGATGGTTACAAACCATGGAGAAAAAGAACATACAAGTTCTAGTCTTTTGTATTTCCATGCCTCCAGCCAGTTACAATTTCATCATTCATAGCCTTTGTTATGGTGACCTGAAAAAGATCAAGCATATGGGTTTTCAGCAATTTTAGAATAGACATGAATAGACTTTTTCTCCTCAAAATTCATTTAGAAGCTTGGAATTATTTCACAGTGCAAACATAATACTGGTCTGTAGCCAATCCCAGAGAACAATTAGCAAAGGTATGTTTCTGTTGTTTTGTAAAAAGATTTATGCCCTTTTTCACTGATGGTTTATAGCAGTGATTCCAAACCATTGTGCTTCAGCACATGGAGTAAGATAACCAGGTGTTCTGTGTGGAAAACTATTCAATTTCATTTAATTTTTCTAAAAAAAAAACCCCATATATAAGTTTATTTACATCAAATAATTTGTCTTTGGCAGAACAGTTAAATTGGCCATAATTACAAAGATAGATGATAAAAACTTAGAGAGGTTCGGAGCTGTTGAAGAATATCTCTGGTAGGGATGTCTGATACCATCTACCCGATATACTGTAGCATACTGTAATTATGTAATAACAGTGAGAGTCACCAGTTTTTTTGTCTGGTAATGAAAACCCAATAATGCAATGCCTATTACAGCCTACTGCTGCATATATCAGTAACGGTTGAGATCCAATTTGCACCTGTATGTAACAGCAGCTAAAGCTCTTCTTGTTTTCTTATATCAATCGCCAAACTGAGGAACCCATTTTTATTTAGTACCTCATTCCAGTCACCAATGACTCCATTTTTAAAGTTGTTCAACTGAGGTGTGAGTACAGTTTGTGGAAAATGTTTCATAATTACTTGTGATGAAAATAAAGAAATTGGGGCTTTAGTAATACACTTGAATTACTCTTTTCTTGATAAAATCTGTGTTATTTTTTGCTAATAATTCATAATTATTATTCTGAAAATTATAAGTTATTTTACAGACTTCTAACAGAAATCTGTAAATGAAAGAATCATTTATCAAATGGATAACTGACAATTCTACTACTAAGTATTTTTTCAGAATAGCAAGCCCTTTCACAAACTCACACTTACCATAATATCATCACACTCTTCATACATTTTCTTAATCTCTTTTCCAATGTTATCGTCGGGTAACCTCTGAGAAAACAATTCTCCATTGTCATCCATAAGGTCTGCGTAATCACCATCAATGAGAACAAGCTGAAAAAAGATGGATAATCATAATACATGTATCATGTAATGAGTTTACTTCAGAGATAAAAACAGACAAGAAATCTTTTCAACATGTAATGAGTTTACTTCAGGGATAAAAACAGACAAGAAATCTTTTCAACTAAAAAGACAGCCATTAACAATATTAAAGCAATAGTATATTTAATTTAAGGGAGAGCAAAGCTTTACCGGAAAATTCTTCCCACGCACTTCCTTTGATGTTATTCTGGAGAACATTCTGGCCAATGTTTTTGTTTTTGACTGTTGCAACAATAATACACACATTCTCCACCTGAGACACAGTGTGTACATGTGTTTGTTTGTCAGAATCGCTCTCTATTGCACCACTCTACTACTCTTCAGCTTCCTTGCCTTTGGGGTAATGTGAGTCAGTGGGTGACAGGGATGGGGGGTAAATAGCACAGAGTAACTGGCCCTTGTGTGATTGTGCCCTAAAATCAATTTATCAAAAACAAGATCTCTTTGACCAGGGGTCTTAAACTCAAATTCACAGTGGGCCAAAATTAAAAACTGGGACAAAGTCGTGGGAAAAACTCAATATTTATTGAAAAATTGACTGAAAATGTGAATGTTTTCCCTTCTCTCCAGATATGTAATGTTGAATTTTTTCATGTGGAAACAAACTTTAATTTTGCGTAAACATCAAATCTGGAACAACAAAAGCTTAACATTATAAACACCTGAGAAATTAAATTTGAAATCACTGGTATTCATTTCTTATGGCTCTCTCTATCTGTAGCCTTCTGAGTTCCTTATTAATGTAAATATTTTTACAGAATAACAAAAGAACAACCAAAAATGTAGGTGCTATAATGTGATACCTTGCTAATACTATCAAACCCGCCAGTTTAAATTGGCTATATAATGTAGGGCAAGCTCTAATACACATTTGATGTGATCTCACAGGCTAAATATAATTTCACCAGTGGCCAGACTTGGCCTGCGGGCCTGAGTTTGACACCCGGGCCTTAGACCATCAGGAAAATATTCAGTGAAATGACAGGACAAAACATTTTTGATAACATCTATGGTAAAACTGACCTACTGTTATTGACGGAACCTTCAGTTCTGCTCGCCACTAAAAAATACCCTAAAAAAGAATGTTTGGCCTCGTGGATATTGCCCAGAAAACATGATCTGAAGCAGACCAGCAGGCCCACCTTTAAATGGGCCAAAAAGAAGGTATTAGACCAGCTAAGTCATTGTCTAGTCTAGGCCACTCATGTGCAAAAAAGTGTGTCTGACCCCAATTGTTTTTCTTTTAAAATTATTTAAAACAAAGAAAACCAGAATGTCTTTGGAAAACAAGAATTGTCATTACACACTTACTTGGTAGTCATCTTTTTTAACATTAGGGACTTCCATATTGTGGGTGGATGGGCAGATATCATCAATCTTCTTCCCAGTAAAGATGTTAATGCCAACCAGGTGGACCTGAAAGAACAGCAAAATGAATCACATTAAGACCAGAGCTTATTACAGAATCATGAGGTGCTCTAGGAAAAACCTGGATAAACTGCCATAAACTCCGCATTTTTATGGCTACACAACTTCCATTTACCTTGGCATGGCCATGCTTGCCAGTCTTTGACGTAGTCATTTCAACAATTTTACAAGGATGTCCTTTCAGTAGGACATAACCATTCTTTCTGAGTGCAGAGCACTGTATTGGATATGAAAGAGAAGCCCCAGCGTCTCCCTTGGTAAATTCAAATTCCATCTTAAGTCAAAGATCTGTGAACCAAAGCATCAGCACAGCATTAAAACATTTTTCAACCTCAATGTTCATACAGGAATGTAAAAATTCAAAGAATACATTTGCAATTTGCTGTTGGCTAATCATTTAAGCAAGGCTTCAAACAAGAGAATATTGTCCATTATTCAGAATTTTAAGATGATAATTTTCCAAATTTCATGACCCAAAACTGTAAAATGCCAAAGCATTAGTTTTGATGAGAAACAAAAGATCTATAAATTCATAGCAGAATCAAAATTCAAGTACCAATCTTAACGTGACATCATTTTTACTCTATGGATCTTGAAGTAGTCTGTGACCTTTGGCTGCACAATTTGACAGGAAAATTACTTGGAGGAAAAGCCTGATTTTACCAAAATCAATTGTTATAAAAGCTACAATTTCAAATATAGCTGACTCACAAAAATGGGTGCCTTACCTGTGTAAAGATCTGAATGTGGATTTGAAATTAGAAAAATGTATTGTGAAATCAACAGGTAGAGTATCAAATGTAGTCATTGATTAATTGAGTCAGTCAAATTCCAAAATTACCTATTGTGCCACATTTCATAACATCATTGATTGACAGGAATGTGAATAGTTTAAGACTTGAAGCTAAAGTGCGTTTAATACACCTGTTTGTGTGTTTAGTTACACATCAGTTTTACCTAGATGTTTAAAAAACAGTGTTACTTTTTGATGTTGTTTGGCGGTACAGTCATTTGTAGTTTGCCTTGTAGTTTACCTTCAAACGCTAAGAGTTGCTAAGAGTTGCTAAGAGTTGCTAACAGTCAACTTTTCTTCAGTATCCTGGAGGAGTTACGCACGTCAATTAGGTTTGTTTTTTTAAATCTGCGTTAATGCATTAAAAATGTCTATACTTAATATATATTAGTTATCTATTGGTGTTAAGAGTGGGGATTTCGGTTGAACGCCAGCAGATAAATGACGTTGTGACGTGGCACTATGAACCAGCACCTCGTGGTGGTTCTTCAGTCATCGTTAACAAGCGCTTTAACGATGAACAGCGATGCTAACGGTGGCTATCGCTACCCCGTGCTAATACTCGCTAAAGTAATATCGTGTTATTTATTAACTACATAGATGACACAAGTCCCTCCCAGAATTACAAATAAGCCGATACGACTGTGTGTGTGGATAACAAGGAGCTCCTAATCACTAGCGAGTTTTTAAGTTGTTGTTTTTTTGTTTTTTTTTCATTTTGCATAAACATCAAATCTGGAACAACAAAAGCTTAACATTATTAGCTTACCTTAAAGTCCCACTGACGATCGAAAAAGAGAACGTACCACCCTTCTGTCAAGCTTTTGTATGACGGGAGGACTAGAGGGCAGGTACGTGGTCCAGTGACAGAGGTGTGGGGGATGGAAACCTGTTGGAATGTTGACGCTCAATGCAGGTACAAAAAACACCTGAGGGCTAACTGCTCACCCTGTAAAACGACAGCCTGTCATTATGCTTCATCCTGACAAACTGCGTTCTAACAAACACTGCTTTTGAAAAGTCTATTTAAAGGGACAAGATATTCAGTTTTGAAAGCATTTCTAAAACACTGCGCAATTTCCTGCAATTTTTAAGTCAGACAATACTAACGCAAGTCAGGGCTTTAAATATTACCACACTGTACGATGTGATTAAAATCAGCAACAGCACTAAAAAGGCCAAACCAATACATTATGTTTTATGCGTGTGATGAGTTTTCCAAATGCACTAAATGTTTAATGTAAAACAAAAAAGGCAATAGGTTTTATGCGTGTGATGAGTTTTCCAAAGTCGCAACATTTTTAAAAGTGTGAAGATCACACAATTGTACAGAGACATGGACCATTTATCCATAAAGTTCTTTAAATCAAGATTCTCTCCCCAGACAATACCATTTGACAACATCTTATGCAGTTACTTACCGTGGACACTTGAGGACAGTGTAGTGATCAAACTGGTGCTGTTTGGTTGTTGAGTATATTTACTGTGCTTACAAAAAGGACAGTATGATAGGTGGGTACAAAGGCAAAAAGTCACAGTCAACTGTTTCCGGGCAACTTATGGAAATTCTTTTAGAAATCAGTCCGCATTACAGGCCCTGCAATCTTTCATTAAGGAAAAAACAGGGTTTTTTTCAGAGTGATTTCTAGAAAAAGGTTTTCCCAGACTTTTGGAGAACATCCAGGACAGACCCTCCTCGAGGTAAACAAAGCTATTTTCTTACTGTTTAATTTCTTTTAGGTTCGAATTTTTTTTTTTTTTACAAAAATATTGTAAATTTAAAACAAATTATTTACCGTCACTCACGAAATTGGAATGCAAAAAACATCTGCGATGTGCTGAGGGAGCAAAATGAGAACCACGATATAGAGAGGGACCACGGTAATTTTATGAATGTAGTAGACAGATAGTAAAGTGTGCAAATATATTTTGTTTATGTTTACTTGTATATACGTAGTTGTCAACCAGTGTTATTTTGTTAAATATTTAATGAATTCAGATAATTAAAAAAAGTCTCAAAACAACACGAGTATTATTTAGTTTTAAATCTTTAAAGAAAATCTAGTCATTAAAGAGTAATAACTGCACAGTCAATATCTTGAAATCTCTGGACCTTAATCTAAAGTTCACAAGATGGTAAAATCATACTGCATTCCACGACAGTGTTGTCAGTCCGAGACAAGAATGATTTTCTGTGTTAGTAAACAACTCGAATCATCATAATACTGTACTGTAAAAACACAAATGAAGTATTCACAGTGCATATCCTTCCACACACATACAAATGGAATGGACACACACTCACGTCGGTTATTTTAGGCATCTGTGGATGTTTTGAGTTGCTGCAGTTCCTTAACGTCTGTAGAGGTTTGGGACACCTTCCCTTTCCGACCCTTCTGGAAACCTGCAGCAATTTCCTTAAAGGTTTTTCCCTTGGTCTCAGGAACACGTAGATATGTGAAAATTGTAAAACCCAGGAGCAGCACTGCGAAGACTATGAACACGTAACAACCCAGCCAGGCCTAGAAAAAGTTAGGAAGAGTTTTAAAAAAAAAAAAATTATGAAAATGTCTTAACTGAAATCAAAACTAATTTTTAATGGAGGTTGACATCCAAGCCTACCTGTATGTAGGGGAAGGTTATGCCTATAATGAAGTTGCTGGTCCAGTTGCAGCAACCAGCGAGAGCAATGGCAGCAGGACGAGGTCCCTGGCTGAACAGTTCTGCCACTATGAACCATGGAATGGGACCAGGACCAATTTCAAAGAAGCTCACGAAGAGAAAGATGGCGGTCATGCTAACGTAGCTCATCCAGGAAAACTGATCCTGCAGAGGAAGACACAGCCATCAATGCTGTGTTCGTTTCTGTAGGGTTTTTCTTGGTTTGTTTAAATCAGAAAATGTTCTCAATGTTTAACATTATTTAGTGTCGAATATAATAAAAAAAAATCATTTCCAGACACAAGCTTTAGTTTTACCAGATCAAAAAGGCACAAGACAATTTACCAGTATCTTAACTGTCCAACCCAGTCTGCTAATTAAATCATCCAATTAAATTTAACATTTAATGATAAATAACACAAGATGCTAAGTGTTGTCAGCCGAACATTTGTGAGCAGAAAGCAGATCTGATCTGGTGGAACAAACCTGGAGGGAGAGGCCGGCTGTCATTACAACAGTGCAGCAGCACATTCCTGCAAGACCAACCAGAGTCAGCGTTCGTCTCCCAGCTTTGTCCACCAGTGCAACCTGTGTGTGAATAACAGCATAATGGTATAGAATAAATTAAATAAATAATAACAATTTTAAAAAATCCTTTTTATTTGTTGAGAAACTCACAGACACCATAGTGAAGACTGTGTTGATGACTCCAACTCCTATAGTGGCATAGACCGGTTGACTGACACCAGCCTGAGCAAAGATGGCTGTAGAGTAATAAAAGATCTAGAAACAAAAAGTTAAACTTGTCAGTCATGTGTCAATAATTCACGGGGGGTGTATTGGTATAACCAGAATGTAATCAAGTCATTATGTAACGTCAAGTCAAGTCATGGTGTACAGTATGACCTGTCAAAACACATGGTATGTCAAGTCAAGTCGCAGGTTACATCAAGTCAGGGATTATGTCAAGTCACGTCAAGGATGATGTCAATTAAGGATTATGACATGACAAGTCAAGTCAAGAATTATATCAAGTCACAGGTCACACAGAGTGAAGGGTTATGTAAAGTCAAGTCAGGATTTTGTCAGATCACAGGTTACATCAAGTCAAGGATTATGTCAAGTCACGTCAAAGGTTATGTCAAGTCAAGGATTATATCAGGTCACAGGTCACGTCAAATCAGGATTATGTCAGGTCACAGGTCATTTTCCTTTAAAAAAATGAATTGAATTTCTCTATATGTATGACCAAAAGCTGCCTTTTGTCATTTCTGCAGCAGTGGCTACTCACTGCATTGATGCCAGACAACTGCTGAGAGAGATGCATCATGAGAGCAACAAACAGCTGCTGTCTGTAGACAGTGGAACGGATCTGTGAAGGAACACAGAGTCCCTTTATTTCATTTGGACAATCGGTTCGTTTTTGCCAGTTATCTTGGGAATGAAAGGTTTACAACTCCAAACAGAGACCCACCAAAGACAGAATAAAAACCCTGGGCTCCCTGTCCGCCTCCTCTTTTTCCCTGCGCATTTCCTCCAGGTCTGAAGTAGTGTCATAGGGCCCTCTGAGACGATGCAGAGCTGTGACATTGATTAATACAGGGATCATGTAAAAAATATTTTTGTTAAAGCTTGGCAATTTTTACAATGACATTATGCCAGTTTTTAAATCAACTTTTACCTCCTCTAGATTAGACTATGTGACCTAAAATGCATAACAACAGATGACTCAAACATGTGGAGACGTTCTCTGTGGCGTTCAAACACTTCAGAAGTTTCCTCATTGTACCTTTGTCAATCATCACTTGTCTGTGTACGTTGATCGGGTTTTTCAAGTCTATTAGGAATTTGTATGCAAACTGTGTGACTTATCTTTGTTTTTTTCATGACATCACTAAATTAACATCAAAATGCAGTGACTACATTTGCCTCTTGGGAATTGTATACTCCGAGTCTCAACTATGCTCTCTGGTGTTAAGTGTTATGTGTGAGATTCCTACTTTTCTGAGCTTCTTGCTCCTTGCCCAGTAAAATGTAAAGGTACCGTGGGCTCTCAGGGCACAGAGGCAGCAGAATGGACTGCAGGATGGCTGGAGCTCCAGATAGGCCGAGTAACAAGGGCCACATGTCATCATTTCCAAGCACAAAGTCCAAACCTATCACCTGAACACACATGACTTTTTGAACACATGTTTAGCGTGTCGTCAAAAACAGGCTGCTAACGCGTGCGTGTCTGTGCGTTAGGATCACTGACATCTCACCTGGCTGATCAAGATGCCGATGACAATTGCCAGCTGGTGTAAAGCTCCCAGGGCCCCCCTGTAGGCTTTAGGGGCGATCTCTCCAATGTACATAGGCACGAGTCCAGATGTCAAACCTCAGAAACACAGAACAAGATCAGTCCAACACCAGTCATGGTGCATCATGGGACATGCGATGTCCCGAGCATGTGTCTATTCCAGCAAACTTAACTTTTCAACCACATTTCCTGTCCATTATATGAAGACATTCTTGTCATACATTAACAAGCTTTGTTTTCGGTTCTCAGACTCTTCTCTGACAAAATCATTAAATTACGACGTGACTTGTTTCCATTTCTATTCACATTAATGTACAACTTCTCATAAAATTGTGACAGCTTTATTCCCACAAACATATAACCACTTTTTTTAAACAAGCGCACACTTACGACTTTTTTCTTTCTTACCCATTGTTAAAGATCCGACTTTGTTCTTATAAAGTTATGACTTGTAATCTCGCAGACCCACAGCTCTGTCCTTGTAAACATTCAACTTTTTATTCTGGTAAACATGAATTTTGCTCTAAATATTACAAATGTATTCTCACCTCCTTTACTTTGTTCTACAACTTTGTTCCCAGGATATCACAACTTGCTTCTCATTAACTTTTTTTATTCTTCTCTTTAAAAAACCCCATTATATTTCAACTGTCTAAAACTTAGATGTTTTGCTCATTACAGTGTATCTAATTCTCACTACTTAAAAACACACCGTCCTTATGGACATGGGCCACATCAGTGTTCCTTATTCGATACTAAAAAAAAACCAAACTTTTTAGAAAACGTCAAGAAATAATTCGAATTTGGATGACTGAAAATAATAAAACAATATATATTTATTAAAGAATTAATGAAACAAGGCCGGATGACGAGGGTTCACGGGCCAAAAGTTGCCCACGGGCCGAGAGTTTGGGGCACCTGCTGTGATATATTTCTCACCAGATAGATATTTTGTTAGCAACGTTCAACTGGTCTTTACCACAGTAGAAGCCCATCACAGCTCGGCCTGAGATGACCATGATGTGAGGTTTCCACATCCTGCACAGTCCCATCAGCAGTCCAGCAGCTACGGCCAGAACGTTGACCATTAACATGCCCTTTACCCTGTGTGTAAAGAGTAACAGAAAGGTGACACAGAGTTAGAATAAATGCGCCATATTGACCCACGGTTACACTTTACTCAAGCAACAACAAAAAAAAAAAAAAAAAAAAAAACCCCTTTTTTTTTTTTTTTTTTTTTTTTTTTCCAACAGCCCAGATGCAACAACAACAAAAAAAAAAAAACAAATCCCACTTTGTTTTCTTTTTTCTTTTTGTTTAACCAGACGTCCAGATGCTTTGTTGTTCCCCTTTCTCACCTCCCCTTCAGGTCTCCAACAAATCCTACCAGGAATGATGAGACCATACCGCCGATGGAGAAGATGGCGACAGACAGAGACCAGTACATGACCACAGTCGGATGACGTTCTGCTTCATCTTCTTCTGTGGCATTTCCCCCAGCCACGGAGGATCTTTCTGTCCACAATCCCAGCGTTCGTCCATAATGCTTCTCGATAACCTGTCACAGGATCAGCTTTACAAGTCAGCAGTTGGACACATAAATTACACAGTAATATAGGAACGTTCACAAGGTGATTGTGCAAAAATTATGGGGCAGGGTGGGGTAACCTCCTCCATTTTTTTAAAGATTATGTGGGGCCTAAAGATAAGATGATCAGGCAGCATTACCCCTGCTCCATGGGTCCTAATCAAAATGATGGGGAAATGGAGAAGTCCAACATTGTTCTGCGTACTGTATGCGACAGATAGATAGACAGACGGATAGATAAACCTTGAACAATGACGGTAAATTCACTATTACAAAAAATTAAATTTGATAGGCAATTATGAGCCAAAATTCTAATGTTGTGAAATGATACCCAAATGTTATCCTAGGCTAAATTTCATAGCATAAAGCTAAACGAGGTCAAAAGAATGACTCAACTATCAAAAGCTTACATTGGGTTAAGTCAGAAAGTAAATTAGCTCGTGTATAAAGTACATGTAGTACATAAAGGTTAGACCAGAAACACATTTGAATATGATCCAAAAAACAAGGTAATCCTATCAAAGACACAAGCTAGTGACAAATACTATTCAGAAATAATAATAATAATAAAGAAAATACCTTTTGTGGTGCATTAATAACTCCGATACTGTAGCCGTACTGCAGAGAGCCCAGAGCTGCTGTAAACACAGCGATAGCAAGTGTACCTGTTAGCCGCTGCAGAAGTGACGGACACGCAAAAACAACATGAATGAGTACGTGTATGTACACGTGTTCCTACACACACGCACTAATATATGTACACAAATACTAATGTACGTGTAACAGTACATATGTATACATGTTCTCACACACACAAATATGATCATGTAAATGTGGATTTCTTCACACAGATATATACACATATATATACATATACGTATTTATACGTGTATATATGTATAGATACATATCTTCATGCACATATACACATACAATATATTGGAAAAAATATATATATTGTGCATACATACAGACATTTACAGATACAGCACACACATACAGTCTGTTCACATACATTTACATATAAACCCATACATACACACACGTGTGTATAGATACACAGCATTACAGCATTTTAGCAACAGTGTGACAACAGACTGCACTGTGGTTTGTAATCCAGAAATCTCTAAACACAGTGATCCAAGGTAGAACATAAATGTAGCCGTTGATCCCTGAGAACCTCCAGTGGAAATCAGAGCCAATAAAATAAAGGAAACCCCAACCCTGAGCCTGGATTGTGTGTGTGAGACCATGAGAAAAGGCAGCAGCAGCAGGCGGCTGTTCTTACCTTCCCAGGGTCCATGGTGGTTCCAGAGAGTCCGACAGCTAATGATCAATGAAGCAACACACACGATCACGCTCTGTCCACTCGCTGATCGACCTGCACATGCATGAGCGCACACACACGCAGACTCACACACACCTGTGCACGCAGAACATCCAGTGACATTGATCTTTGATCAAAGCATTGATCTAAGTTGATAGAAACTTCGCAGCAACCATTTCTGTGTTGTGTTTTTTTTCTGCTGACACTGTATAAAAATGCCACAAATTGTACAATTAAAGCACACAGCAAAACAAGAACTGTGTACTTTGACATTAATAATTGCACTGCACATCAGTATCTCCGTTCTGAACATGCAATGCTTAACACACACACACACACACACACACTGTTAATGATACACAGGAACGGACAAAGTCTGAGGGTCGCTGATACAAACGTGTTTGCTTGTATCAGCAAGAAAAAAAAACAAAAAAAAAAACAAAAGAGCACACATGCTCAAAACATCTGCAGAGGAAGTGAATACTGTGGTTTCTTTTATTATTGTCTTACAGCGTCTCTTTTACAAAACAAAATAAAATTCCCCCTAAAACAGGACATTAGTAGACTCTTTCAAAATAAAATAAAATGTTAAATCAGAAATAAAAGAAATAAAAGTACAGTGGTGTCAAAGGAAGAGAGATTTCAGTGTAAATGACTCGTTTTCCCCACAATGGAAGAGAGATTGCACAGAACACACACACACACACACACACACATGCACTCACACACACACACACACACAGTGGTGCTTTTGTTTGCCTGTTCCCTACCTTCACCTCAAACAGTGATAATAGTGCCAAACTCACAGCTGTGGCAGAAGAAAACACTGTTTTTAAAACACATTTCAATACATGTTTCCAGTCGTTGGCGTTTTAAAGACTTGAACAGACACGGACAGTGGACCTTCCAAGTCTATCTCCAGTTCTCCAGCCTTTAATCTCTTCTCAAAAAGTTGTATTTTCATCCACACCTTGGTTTGTTATTGTCCAATCAGCTTGTTGATGGAAGAAAATAAAAACGACAGACTTAACAGACATGGGTCTTAAACAGATGATTAGCACTTTAAACGATTCTTCCCAGAACTGACGAAATCACCCTCAGTTCAGCTATTTTTGAGAAATGGTCGACTCACGACTCACTCTCACTGCGGATTAAAGAATTGCCCCATCAGAGTCTTCACATTTTTCACCAACACAGTGAATTTGAAGAAACTGTACGAACAGAGGTGGAAAATAGAGCCCCAGGTCAACAACACCGTGTCAAAGTGGTCTTTTGTGATAAACAAAAAATTAAGCAACACTTCTGCAATCCTTCAGTGAATCGTGAGGGAAGCTCTGTGATGGTCTGGGGCTGCATTTCAGCCAGTAGATTCAGGAACCCTGGTGACAATGATAATGAACATTGAGATCTGTTGGAATACTCCTGGACGAGGAGCAGGTCAAAAGATCACGGAATTTAAAGGAACAGTTTTGTCCTGTTCCTGGGGCCAGTCACAGGTGTCTAAAGACCTCAGGTATCTCAAAGCATCAGTGCGCACATTTACATCAGTTGTCGAAAGATTAAAAACTTTTGGTTCAATTTGGGACTGGAGAAAAATTTGAGACAACCAGGAGGTGTTCAGCTATCATTGTCTCAAATCTGATTCATCAACTGGTAACGGTAGATTAATCACGATTAATCGGGACTAATATTGATTTTGATGTGATATATCATGACTAATCCAGATAAATCACCAAACTCCTTTTTTCTGTATAATGTTGGAACAGAAAGGCCAATAACAGCAGGTGGAGCTATTGGTTTCACACCTGTTCTTATTTCTGACTAATCCAAATGATGGAATTAGAAATGTGGAAAAATGTCAAAACAAAATTACGCAAACGTGAAACTCAGAGTTCGGCTTCATAGCGTTAGTGGATTTGAGTCGTTACAGTGAGCGTGGACTGGCAGGACGTGAGAAGAGTTGTTTTTAAAACTACAGTCAGGTCAATGGTCCTCAACAAGGTCGATCTGCGTACAGCCTCCTCACAATCCATTCGACATTTCTGTCTGTCAGTTTGTGGAGGGGGTTTGACTAAAGCCTGGCCTCTGACCTAAAGTTGAAGGTTCCCCAACACCATAGAACTGTTGGATAAACAGTACGTTGCTCGTCATTCTGCCCATGTTTTTTAAATGCATTCATATTTTGGTCTGATTAATCACCAATTAATCTAAATTAAACACCATTTATCTGCCTGTCTGTTTTTTAACCTCTCTGTCCTTTTGTTTAATTTAGTAACACACACACACAAACACACAATCACAAACATACCGACCTCAGAGACAAACAAACGTTTGCTGTATAGTTCGAGTTTTAAGAAAGAAAAAGAGTGATTTTCAAGTGTCAGACGGTGCAGAGAGAAGGAGAGTCCAGTGAACGAACCGCAGCGTTCATTCAGGGAAGTTACAGTAAATGTGATGCAGCACCTTCAGAGAGTGGCAGAGGAGGAGCACGGCGACGGACAGCGAAGCAGGGGAAATGATTCAAATGTTTATACATCATCGTCGGCATCGCTGTGACGTTGATGTGGCTGAGAAAACACGACTCATTTAAGACTAACGTGGAGCTGGAGGAGGAGCGGCAGAAAAATCAATCACAGTGTCTCTGCTAACACCGCTGACATCACCACCCAGAGCTGACCTATCAGCTCACTGAAAAGATTCGTGTTGCAGGAATACAGACGAGACTGGCGTCAAAAGACTGGAGTAGGTGCAAGAAAAGAGAAAAAAAAGTGTCATTTTCTTTCTTTTTTTTACATTTTTTTCAAACGCACCAGTCAACTTGCAGCAAGAGGAGACAAGACATACAGACAAAGACACAGATACGTATTGGGACAGTCAGTGGCACTAGTATCAGTCAGTTGTGTAACGATGGCTTCAGTACAAACCAACAGTTTCTACTGAGATCTTTGTTGGTTTTCTCAATGATTATCGCTTTTTTTAAACGCCTCTACTTCTTCTTTTTTTTCTATTTTTTTAAAGTCTCTCATCAGGCGGTCGAAGGTCACTGTGAGTCACTGAGGCAGAAGGTTTCATCACCAGTTCATCATAGAGTTTCTGTTGAGGGTCATGAAGAAAACCTGGCTGCTGCCTCCGGAACGCACCGACGCAAAGAAGACCTGCAGGAGGAGCAGACGGAGACAATGCCCTTAAACAACAGGTGGACAAACCCCTGGCTCAGGGGCCACAAATGTGATTTGGCACTTTAGACCAGATCAAAAGAGAGAAAAAGTAGACAAAATAGCACTGTAGATAAATTAGATTAAAACAGCAAAAGTACAGAAACTAGGAGGAAATAAGCTAAATTTTGCACAAAAAAAATATGTGAAATGATAAACCGTGCAGTTGAAAAAATATTTTATGTCCATCCATCCATTTTCATCCGCTGCAGTTGAAAAAATATTTTATGTCTTAGCTTAAAAAATACACTTCAGCACATAGCCATTTAAAAACAAAAATAAATCCCCCCGCACCTCCAAACGATAAATAAGGGAACCACAGCTAGCTGAATGTTAGCTAATAATATTAATAAAGTCACTTATCACATTCATAAAAGTTCTTTTAAAAAAGCCTAACAAAAGGTAAGTAAATAGCTATGCAAAATGACAATCTAAAATATTGATTTAAAAAAAAAAGTTTTCCCCAAAATAGTCAGAAAATAGCAAGAGAGAAGAAAACCATAAGGACACTGGGGCAACCGTTGGTAAAAATCATAGCAAATGCCAGTAAAAGTTAAAATTAATAAAACTGAAAGCTAAAAGCTATATTTTTTTGTGTCTTTTTTTTATGTCTTATGTAGAAAAGGCTATAAACTTTATGTGAAAGAGTAGCCACATTCTCGCAAAATATACATAAAAGTTGTAAAGTGTAAATGTTTATACTGCTTAAAGTTTGTCATAAACAACAAAAGCTAGCTAAGAAGTTGCTGTGGATAAGCTAAACATGCCAAAAATGTAACAAAAAGAGTTATAAAGTATCTATAAGTATCAAGTCATGTAAAAGTTTGCTCAAATGAATACACATTGACTAAAAGTAGCACAATGGCAGCTAATACTACCCATAATCATAAAATAGCTAATGGTTAGCCAAACTCATGTTGGAAAAGGGTGAAATGTGACCATGATTTCTGAAGGATCACACACACAGACACACACACACAGATAATGTTATTTTACCTTATCGTTGCGCTCACAGAGGAACTTCAGTCTTTGTGCTCTCTTGTGCATAAATACTCCGTCCAAATGACCCGTCTCCACTGATCGGATCTCTATGGCTTTCTCACCCCAGCCCATAATTTGGTTGGAATGGATGTAGGCTGCAGAAATAGACCGCATTAATGTATCAATGTCTGATGCTTCAGTGATAAAGTTACACGGCCAGGTTTTGTAAATGGGCCCAGCAAGAGTGCCAATATGGGTTTACACACGCACACACACACACATATATATACACATACACATATACACACACTTATATAGAGTATATATATATGCATAAACATATATATACATATATATGTGTGTGTGTATACAGTATTCATATAAAAAAAATCCTATAAAAAGTAGATAATAAAAAAGTAAGGTAATGACTAAGCAATATAATAGATATATAATATCATATATATAATATAATATATAATAAATATATACTACATTATATATTATAACATACATTATATATTGATTATTCATTGCCTTACTTCTTTTTTATGATTTTTTTTCACATGAAGTAAGATTTTTAAGTATTCTTTAGAAACACTTCCTACAAATAAATAAATACACAAGGTCAGACGTACCAACAGAGGTCGGCATTTCTCCCCACTGCAACACGACATCCTTGGTGATGCGGCCGTAGGTGTTGACGTAGACGCCCTCATCCTCGTAGCACAGCAGCATTTCCATCCCGTCCGTCTTGGGCAGCACCACGATGGCGTGAGGCGTCACCTGGCTCTGGATCTGGTGAAGATTTGGAAACAGACACGAGGCTTAGGGAAACAGATCTGTGCTTCAACATGCCTGTCCTACAGTAGCCTGTAACTGGCTTCAGCAGCCAAACACAGAACTACTGTGTGTTTTTGTAAAGGTGGAAATTCAAATAATGAAATTCAGGAAATTCAGATAATGTACATTTTTTTATCCATTTTTTGATTTTCATCTTCTTGTTTCTGCAAAATATATTTTGCTAAATTTTACTTATTTGGTAGTCAAATTTTATTATGCTGAGAATATTGTTTAGTTTTTTTAAATTATTTTTTTGGTCTTTTTTTTTTTTAACTAGCCGTAAACAAGAAATGTATACCTTGACATGTTGACTTACATGTGAGGGAATATAGATGTCATAGGGGTTTCCTGAGTCCACGTCAATGACATGAAACCCCACACTGGAGCCGTAGATGACCTTTAACCTTTGTCCTTCCTCCACCGTCAGGTCAACCAGCTGAGGTCGATGCTGCAGTTCAGTGAATGACTGTGGAGCAGCAGACGGAGGATGTCAGCAGCAGTGAGGGGTCTGCCCCACATTTAAAACCATGTGACCATGAACTGTACCTTGAAGGCCATGAACTTGTGGTAGGGTTTGGGAGCCCAGGCGTAGATTTCCACAGAGTTCTTCAGAGCGATCACCAGGAATTTGATCCTTTCGTATTTAACTGCAACAACACGCTAACGTTTAGGTTCTCTCTCTCTCTCTCTCTCTATGTATCTATTTATATATATATATAAATATATATATATATACATATATACACATATAATAATAATAATAATAATAATAATATATATTTATACATATATATGTATATTTACATATATACACAAATATATGTTTTATATAAATCATGTAATTTTTGTCACACAGATGTACAAACAGACACAATGCACAACTGCAATGCATGCAATCCCATTGTGATTGGTAATAATTTCAATTTAACGTAATCCAGTGAGAGAGCTACAACAACGTCAACAGCAACAAGAGCAACAACATAACTTTGGTTTAATGCGCACGTCTCTTTTATTATAAAACACATACTGCGACTGTTTCTGCTTCTTTTATCACATAATAAACACAAAAGTCATAGAAAACATCGAACCAGTTTAAAGCTTCAGCATTTCAAAAACGTTCTGTGTTTAGATGATACTGACCCACTTTATAATGCACGCAGCCCTCCAGGTCGCCCACTGTGATCCAGCCCTGCTTCTTCTCCACCTCAGGGTCGTTGTGTAGTATTCTGTTCCTCAGCCATGACAGGTAGTACACACGTAACTTGTTCTTTTTTCCTGGGAGACCAGAGACACCGAAAGTCAAAAAACCATACACGGTAAAACAACACTGAGCGAATACAAATGTTTAAAAAAGGCCAATGGAATAAGACGTTTTCAGGAGGGAGTTTGTAATCAATGGGTAAAAAACTGAGATTTTCACTCTTTTTGTAAAAATGTTTTATTTTGTTTAATTTCATGATGTACGTTTTCTTTATTCTTATGCCAGTGAATTTTACATACAGCTGATCACCACACAGTAAATACTGATGATTCATCATTTTTCTACAGTGGCCACCAGGCCATGCTGCAAGAGAGAAACAGACTGCAGCCAGGGGCCAACCCATGCTGCAAGAGAGAAACGGACTGCAGTTTTTGTTGCGTTTCGTGTGCGTTTCACCAGTTTGTACCGCGGAGTTGAACAATTCCTCAAAAGCGGAAGTGATGTGATCCGTTTTCTGGTTTGGCATACAGCCTATTTCTTTCTTTCACAATTCCCCTGCAGTACTTCTGCTGACCCATAGGGGTCTACAGTCGCCCCAGATGAGGCCTGCAGCTTCAGTGGGTTCAACTCTATTGTTCAACATCTGCTGACGTAGTTTCGGTTGGTTAGCAGCATAAAACCCACCAGATATGGTGACTAAGACGTTGAGCCCCTCCAGCACGTCCATCTGCAGGAAGCGCCTCCTGGTGATGAGGTTGTAAACTTTTCCTTGTCCACTTCGGTCGAGCAACATCAGTCCGTTCTCCGTCCCTACCAACAGATTCACACCTGAACACACAATCACGTGCACACACACACACACACACAGGGGTCAGAGGAAACAAGCAGCACAACCAAAACTGACGAGGGTTAGCAGTTAGCAGTTAGCAGTTAGCAGTTAGCAGTTAGCTGAGGAAAGTCGCCCGCCTCTCACCCCAGAGTGCAGCACACAGGATCTCAGAGTTGAAGCGTTTCTTGTATTTGCGGATCTCGGGCGTGTCGCTGTGGGGTCTGATGTTGGTGGGGTTGACGTTGACCACGGAGATCTTTCTGGCCTCGTTGAGTCGCGCCTGCTCCTGTCTCAGCAGCTCATTGGCAAAGTTGGCTAAAGCGTCGCAACAGAAGGAGAAAAATATTCAAGGTTTAACTTCACATTAAAGCAACGTTAGAAGAAGCTGGCTGCAGAAGCAGGTTCTTCCTACCTGCTGCTGAGATCTCACCGTCATCGTCTTCTCCTGGAGACGTTTGGTAAACACGTGGATCAACAAATGGGGTGAAGGAGGCTTTGGAGCCGCCCAGTCCAAACTGTACACAAAGCACACACAAAAAAACCTGATTAACTGAAACAATAAACCTAATTAACTGAAACAATAATAAAGCGGACTAAGCTGCCGCACACATGTATATATTTCTAAATTTATTTTTATGTATTTCTCATTTGAAATCAGAGTTATGTAGTTAAACCTCTGATTTCTAGTCAAATGACTACTGTCATCAAATTCACATTAAAACTGACTAAAATCTTCCTTGGAATTTTTATTATTAAAATAATCACGTTTAATTTTCATGTAATTCAGTTGGTTAAATATCACCTGATTAACTGAAACAATAAACCTAATTAACTGAAACAATAATAAAGCGGACTAAGCTGCCGCACACATGTATATATTTCTAAATTTATTTTTATGTATTTCTCATTTGAAATCAGAGTTATGTAGTTAAGCATAAACCTCTGATTTCTAGTCAAATGACTACTGTCATCAAATTCACATTAAAACTGACTAAAATCTTCCTTGGAATTTTTATTATTAAAATAATCACGTTTAATTTTCATGTAATTCAGTTGGTTAAATATCAGTTCACTTTATTGTACATTTTAACCCACACACACACACACACACACATTAAAGATCAAAATTGAAAGTTAAAAAAAACTTGGGGACCTACAATACACATCTTCTGAGACACATATGGGTTGTGACCCATTGTTTGGAAATCACTGTGCAGTAAAATCATGTTGAAAACAGCGTGGAAAATATATTCAGTAGGTATACAAGAAGTACTACAGACTATAGTACAGCAGTACTACAGTACAGAGGAGGGATTTTTTTCAGAGACTTATCTTAACATTTGTCACAATTGTATGCTAGGAGCTTTATTATATTTGTATGTACTTTTTTTAGCCATTTTAGCTCTTATTCTTTGACTAAGGTTTATCTATTTTTGACATTTTCTAGCTAATTTTGTTTTACAGTCAAAGCACAGAAGAGCGTTGATGTCAGGAGTCCTCACTACTTTGTGTTATTGCAGCAGAAATCCGTCTAAAAACTATCTCCATGTCCTGGCTTTTCAGTCTCAACCCAAAGAAAAAACTTTGATAAAATGTGTGTGGATCTCCTCTCTCTGTGTGTGTGTGTGTGTGTGCACACGCACGCTGACCTCTGGCATGTCGCCCAGTTCCTGCAGGGCTGTGGTGGGCGTGGCCGAGGGTGAGTTGCTCTGCTGCACCAGGTCGGGGAGGTTTCCGTGATGACTGTGATTCCCAAAGCCGTTACTCTCGGTGTGAGCTCCTCCTCTCCTCCTCTCCTCCGCCTGTGGGAGCAGTAACAGATTGGGGGAAAGGAGATTCTGTATGGGTTTGTGAGAGTATTGAGGAGAGGATAAAAATAAAAGATACAACATTGGAGACACAGGAGGAGTTCAGTGTGTACTCATTACCTCTCTCATTACCAGAGTGCTGTCCTTGGAGCTATTACTGTACGCCTCTCCAAGGGAGCCCTCAGTCAGGCCGCCGTACGACTCACTGCTGCTCTGAACTGCAGGCCTGCAACACACACACACACACACACACACACACACAAACCCAAGACGTTAACAAAGCAATTTGTCTCAAGAAGACACTGACAGGAACCGAAGAAAAAAAAAGAATTAAACAAACAGAGACAAACTTACATGATGCGAGGGATGTCACTGACAGCCACTGTCCCATCATGCCCTACTGTCTCCCCGTCGTCATCGCTGCTCTCTGACTCCTCACTGGAAGACGAGTAGTCTGTCACCTTTATCACGAGAGAGGAAGATTTTTCAACCATTCATAATCTTCGAGGAAAAACAACACATTTGATTGGTCGATGTGATTTACTCTAAAGAGACAAGAACATATTCAATATTTGATATTAATACTGTATTATCATTCATAAAAAATAAAAAACTAATGTTACTGCATTTGTGTGACTGTACCGCCCCCTTCTGTCTCCCACAATTCTCCTTTCTGCCTTTGCAGAGACAGACTGTTACATGGAGCCAGGATCTGGTACAGATGTTTTCCTACTTAATTAGTTAATTTGGTTGGCTGAATACATTTGAGACAAATGCATTTTGGGGTTGGGGCTATATAAATAAAAATAGGTTAAAAGTTCATTTTTGCCAGCAGCGAGAAGGAGCGGGTGAAAAAAAAGTGTTATATCACATATTAACACGAGATGGCAGTAATGTACTGGGAAAATAGTTTTCTACAACTATGGTGTTTGTCCAGAGATGTTGAATAATAAACCACTTTTTTTCAGGACATCGCCGTGAAAATATCGATACCCACAGGTCAAGTTCTTTTACCGCCTTTAGTGGCGGCTAATTTAGACTGGTTCCTGTTTGTCAAGTCTCTGTCCAGTTAGCAAAAATCCCTAATATTTCCTGTTACAATTTCAATCCACAACACCAAAAAAGGCCACCGCTCTACATGACACGCCCTCTTCGCCTCTCATTGGTCGGGACCTGGTTAAACTGGTTACATATATAACACTGTAGAACACCGACCGGAAGAGCCACACTGTGTTAGAGTGGTTTGTGCTCTTGTCCAACGACACGACAATGACGAGGGGGTGGAGGAGGAGAAATTAAAAGTTGTGTTGCTACTTCAGGCTTGTGTTTGTAAACCTAGTTGCTTGTTACAGTATGTAATGTCACCAGATCACCTTGACAGGAGGTCTGCTGCCTTCCTCCACCCTCAGCTCCCTCAGCTCCTTTGCCAAAGCACTCAGGTCCTGGAGAGGAGAAGAGGGGGAAAAAAACGCCTGTCAATCAGAGGAGCACAGAAGATCAGCTGGTACCAGCAACATAAACTGATTTGTCGTCTCCACAAAACAACAAAGTGCTGATCTGAAAGAAGATTTTTTTTTTCTGTAAAAAAAGTGAAAGATGAAGAGCCGCAGCAGAGAGGAACTGGTTTTCACCAAACAAATGTGAAAATAAACGCAGTCATAGTGGAAAAGAGTTCAAACACACACCATGTTTTTTTAAGTAAAAATAAAAAGCCAAAACTACTCTGTGTCTTATTTGTCAGAACTTTTTGTGCCACCAAAATAAAATAAAAAATTAGACAAATTGTTGTCTAATTTTTTGAATAAATTGGAAAACTTTCCTTTTTTGTCAGTTTTCAACATTGCGGTATGTGGCTGTGTTTTCAGAAAATACAACCTTGCATCAACCAGGTTGCCATATTTTCCTATTGATAATGTTAGTGTGTACCAGTGGTTCTGTAAGTATGGGGCGGGCCCTACTCTGGGGGACGCAGCATTCTTGAGAAATGTTTTTAGTGTAGCACAGTGGGACAATCCACTGATCAGTAAATTTCCTTTTTTTTTGTCCTTTCTGTTTTTAGAAAATACAGGCTTCTAAATAAAATTCAGCGGAGTTTTGAGGCAATAGCTGGGAATGTGTTGATGTTGTGCTACAACAGGGGGCGCTGTAGAAACCACAGGAAACCACTGGTGTAGTTTTTTTAACTCAAAAGTTTTGATAAACATAATAAAAATAATTAATTGTGAAAAAAAGAACAAAATGATCCAATCAGTCCATCAAAACAGACTTTTTTAAAAATCAAATATTTAACTTTTGAAAAAAGCAGCGACTCTTTTAGGACAGTGGGGGCGTGTGATTTCAGCAGCATGTTGTTCTGTCTTTATCGCCACTTCTTCAAAAAAGACAGAAATCAAACTTTCAAGGAGAAAATACTCTCAATATTCAGCCTTCGTTAACAATCATTCCATATAATCATGAGCCCCGGCCCCCCCCCCCCTCTTCCCCCCCCCCCCCCACCCTATTCACCCGAGCCAAGAGTCATCATGCAGACTGGGGGTTTGGGGGGGGCGGGGGGGGGCGTTACCAGCTCCTCTAGACCAAGGAAAACATAAGGAGAGATGAGGAGGCAGTTCAGAGGTAACACACTCACACACACACATATAAACACACACGCTGCATGCACACAGGTGTCGACGTACAATGGATATATAATGACAGTAGAACACCCTCCTCTGTCAAAGAGCAACAACGACAGCGAGACATTTATTTCAGAATTTCCAGGAATACACCGCTTGTGGCAAAAAGACACGCAGCATACCTACTGTGCCACCTAGTGGTGGCAGCAGCATTCTTTGGGGGCTTACGATTAAAAACCCTGGCATTAAAACAAAAGCTGTGTTAACTTTTGTATATCCACTGTACACCCTCTAAGCTGTGTGTGTTGTGTGTGGAAGCACACATGCATCGCCATCACCATCACCATCACCATCACCATCACCATCACCACCCTGTAGTCTCAGTTAAACGCCACCATGCCGGGGTAAGAAGAAAGGCTGTAGAAAAGCCAAAAATAAGAAGGAAAAACAAGGGTCAAATAAAAACAAGCAGCCGTATGGATGGTCACTGACCTCATCTATGGCTTTCTTATAGCTCTGATGGGTGACGGAAAGAGAGAGAGAGAGAGAGAGAGAGAGAGAGAGGGAGAGTGAAATGATATAGAAAATAGAATAAAGAAGAGATTTTAGAAGATACCCCGAAACAGTGAATTCCAAACCGCTGTACTGTGACTGACCAGGAGGTGTCCCATAGTCCCATTCACTTGACTGACCTGAAAACCGTTATTTATTTACTGCAGCTACTGTAATTTGTCTTCATCCATCAGTGCCACATGGAAAACTCTACCACTAGGTGGAAGCAGATGGCTATAAATAAACTAAAAGAGAGAGAGAGAGACTCTGTTGAAGAAGATCTTGGTGTCTTTCTTCAAATCCCTGTGAGTAAGTTAGCAATGTATTCAACTAAAAAGATTCACGCTGAGGAAGTAAAGTGGAACCAGAAGTTCATCACACGTACTTTTTATTTAGTGGTGCAAAACATGTGTCGTGTTTCAAAAAAGGTTGGACAACACTTCACCTAAAGACTGTGTAAAGTGTGTTTGTTCCTGGAATGGCTACTAGTGGGGACATTTTTAGTGTCCTTCAGAGTAAGAGTATTTCCCAGGCTCAAGATTGAGTTTAGAGTTAGGATTAGAATTATGATCAGATTAGACTCAGGGGAGCAAAAAGAGGGATTTATTTGTAACAGTTAAGATCAGGATAAGGAGCGAGGGAATGGGTTATGTCTGTGAACGGCTTACAAAACAAAGTGTGTGTGTGTGTGTGTGTGTGTGTGTGAGAGAGAGAGAGAGAGAGAGAGGACAAAAACAACACTCACAGCAGGTCTGCTGGGTCGGGCTGATTCACGGTCATCCTCCTGTTTGGACCTAGACTCCTGATTGGCTCCTGGTGGGGAATCTCCCAGCATGCTTTGACCTGCAGAAAAGAAAGTTCAATTCAACTCTTTCTGTGTTATATTAATTTTGTTGACATTTATGGCCATCGGTGTTTTCTGTCTCCACTGACATGAGTTTTTTGACTTCATTTTATTCAATTTTGTGTAAAAATCATTTCATGATCGGATGAAGTAAATTTTAGAAATTCATTAAATTTACACCAATAAGGGTTTTTAACAGATACAAGACGATCCCCTGGTGTAACCCTCGACATAGTAACTCAATTATTCTGTTTGGCCACAACATCACACCACCACACAAAAAAACCCCCCAGAATCCTACCAAACCCCGGCCTTGTCCCTCCGTCATGTTTCTGTCTGAGTGAGATCCGTGCACATCATGGAAGACGGATGTTTGGAACATCTGTCTAACCCTAAACCTCTGTCTATCTCCCTCTGCTACTCTCTGTCTTCGTGTCTCTGGAGGCTGATATCAAACAGGGCGAATCTGACATGTGGAACAGAGCAGAACTGAGACTGACAACATCCTGAACCACACTGGAGTCACACCGAGGTACGAAGAGGGTCGTGGGAAAAACAACCAAGGTTGGAACTGTCGGCTGTTTTCCCAGGATGGAAGAAAATGTCAACAGTTGACAACATTTCTGAAGAGTAAACCAGCTCCAGTGACCTTGTCTGTATTTAACAGAGTTATTTTCTCTTCAGAGATCTGTACCTCTCCTTTCTGATGATCCTCCCTGAGATGAAGGTGAGGAGGAAGAGGAGGAGTTGGAGGAGGTTCTTTGTAGCATGGCTTCCAGAGAAAGCTCCGAGCGCCTCAGGTCTGGATTACTGCAACAACAGCAGACGTGTGACAATCCTAATCTAACAGGAGGAATCCTGTTTCACATTAATTATAGAAATACATTCAAAACTGTTTACTTTCAAACTTTCAAACAGGTTGATTTTTAAAGCTTAAAATTCAAGTCTAACATCTGTAATTTACCAAACATTACAGATTTAATTTTTTTTTAGAAAATTAAATATTTAAGTGGCTTAAACCAAATTGGCCACTAATGTCATACGGCTGTAGAAAAAAAAATTTTTTAATTCGTATTAAGAGTGTTCCCTCTCTATATATCTGGCCCACAGTTGATATCCAGCATGAGGGTCACATCTCAACCGAATGTCAACTAAGACGCTGTTCTTCTGGGCCTACTTTAGGCCTGGCAAACTTTACTGGACTACATTCTGTTGCTCCTGAGCAGTCACTTGTAGAATATGTATTTCCAGAAAAAAAAAATTTAATTCATATTAAGAGTGTTCCCTCTCTATATATCGCGGTTCTCCTTTTGCTCTCTCAGTACATCGCAGATTTTCTTTAATCCAATCTGGCGTGAGTTTTGCTATATCACAGTATTTTAAGTTTTTTTTTTTTTACTGTGCATTACTGTGCATATAATTGTGTGATAAAGCGTAACGCAGTCTAGGGAGGGTTGATAACAGTGTGGGAGAGGTTTGTAAGGGGTTAATATATACATAAATAATGCAACTATGTCGCCTCTACTTTGCGGATTTTTCCTTTTCGCTGTGTGTGTCTTGGAACGCAACTACCTCAATAGGAGAGAGATCACTGTACTTCTAGAACTTTTAAAATACACCATGGTAACATGCATGCCGCGGGCTGCCGTTGCTGGCATGTCGCTCAAAGTTAAGGGGAGCATTTGGGTTTATGTGTCACGTTTTTTTTTTTTATGTTAGATCCTAAAATTTTGACCAATATCAGACTGAGTATCAGATGGAGCCATCGGTTAGGCTGGATAAGAATCATCCAATGTTCTGTTCTGTACCTGGCCCGTATGAGCTGAGAACCAGTGCGTGGACCCAGACCAACTCCTCCGTTGGGAGAATTCTTCCGCACTAGAGCTGGAGAAATGGATGTGGTCCTTTGTGGAATCTGAACCATGAACACATATAAAGAAAGAGGAGAAAATCACTACTGCTGCTTACATTTACTGTAGCAGTGAGAAGACGAAGCATCAATCAAAAAACGTTTTGTGTGCATGTCTCATTGCTTTAAACGCTCTGCTGTAAAATATGACCTAGCTTCAATAAAACATTAAACGTTAGGTAAAAAAAAAAGACTTAAGTGGAGCATTTGATATCCTGTTGTTTGATTTAGACAGTTTATCCTTTTTTGCTGTACATGCTGATTAAACCCTTGTAAGCTGATCCTCTGCTCTGTCATTTTTACCATCAGGGTGACTGGAGAGGAGACGTCTGCCCTGGAGTATGAGGAGCTGCTCACTCAGGAGGACTCTTTGACTTTTTAAAGTTACTTTAAAGAAAAAAATAAATTCTTACTGCCACTACTGCACAGAGCAGGGGTCTCAAACTGTTGGCCTGGGGGTCAATATTGATCCAAGAAACCTCCACATCTGGCCCATGACTACATGTCAATATTGATACAATTTTGCCCCCAAAGAAAATGTATTATTATAATTATTATTTTCGCAATTATTTAAACTCCTTTGGTCTTAGTCTCCACTCGTTTTGATTTTGAAGCCTTAAGAAAGGTTAAAAAATGCTAAAAAAAAAGTTAATGAATTAAAATGAACTACAATTAATCACAGGAAAACTAATCAAGATAAACTGTGAGAAATTTTAATTACTCGTGATTAAATATATTTAATGTACGCAGTTTTTCTTTTTAACTAATCCAAATGATAGAAATAACAATATGAATATTAAAAATCATATCTGTAAATATGTCTGTAAATAAATTCACATATATCATTAAAATGAATTGGACTATTACTATATTATCTACAAAACATATAAAGACCCGTAACTCCTTAAACACTAGACAGAAAGCTTTGAGGACACTGACTTTAAGGACTGCCTTTAACTCTGACTTCCTTGTCGTGAACTGGATTAAAAACTGAGTGACTTGAATTAGGTCATGATCTTGATTTTAACATGTCAATATGGAACTTGAACTTGGATCTAATTCTATCTCAATTTTAGTTGTTTATTTTTTTTAACTCTGTCACAAGAGAAGACTTTCCCATCCCCTAAAAGAATATTTTGATGAATAATTCTGACTAGGAATATAAACTCTGAATACCCAATTAATTTTTTTTCTCAAGACTCTCCTTGGACTTGGACTTTTTTATTTGATTTCCTTCTATTTTGCTGAATACAAATTGATATATGATCTTTTTACCTTCGGTGGAAATTCTTCTTCTCTCAACCACGCCGTCCTGTCTCGATCTCGGTCCCTGTCTCGATCGCGATCTCGTTCCTCTCTGCTGGTGACGCGCAGCTGTGGACCAGGGGTATCAGAAGTGGGGTCAGAGTTCTGCCGCGGCATATCTGGTCTTTGAGACACCATTCCAATCCCTTCACTGAGGACTGTGCCCGTTTGGTCCTGCAGGGACTGGGAACCGGACATGGAGCCAGAGTGGGTTTTCACTGGAACCAGGTGAGCCATCTATGAGGCACAGGGTTGGAGAGAAACAGTGAGTAAGGAAGGACTGTTGAAGGAGATGGACAACAGCAGGAGGACAGAGGACAATAAGGCAAGTGGAGATAAAAAAAACTTGAAAAGATGTCCAGTGGTTTTACGATTTTAGAAAGAAAAGTACATATTTAGTGAAGGAGAGACTGAAGGTCAAAGGTCACTGAGTACTGTTAGTGAGAAAAACACCTTCTTCATCTAGAGGTTAGCAAACAGACAATGACTTTTCATAAATCCTGTCTGACCCCTTTACCCAGTACTTCTCAAATAGTGGGGTGGGGCCCCCTGGGGGGCGGCGGGGGAGCAATAAAATATGGCACTGCTGTAATGGTTGAATCATAACAAGCCTCCAGTCACTAGGTGGCAGCAACTCATACAGTGGTTTGTACAGATATCAAATTTTCAATAGTATTTCAATTTGCGGGGGTGTGTGTCGGGGAGGATTGGGAGGGGCGTGTGGAAACATTTTGTGACAGAAAATACATGACAGAATCACTGCCTTTACCTCAGTCTCTTTGACTTTGACTACATAGGATTTTTATACTGTGTCATAGTTGACTTCAACACTCCTCCCTCTGTTTAGATGCCTTCCTTATTCACCCAAATGATCATTATCCAATGCAGCTGCTTGTTCCCAAAGTTGAGGAAGTGGCTGGACCTGGACATGTGCTGAGCTGGTGTCTCATTGGACAGCTTCATGTGGTAAAAACAACTTTTTTTTGTCCTCCCAGTTTTGACTGGGCAGCAGCTAGGACAGGCATGGATGATACTGAAATCAGTTGAACTGAACTGGGCTGAATGTGACTTCATATTGCATTAAATTTGCATTATTATTTTGAGCATGCCCACAAGCAAGTTTAACAACGTGTCTGTAAAAACCTGAAGGATGTGTGATGACGAAACAAATGTTATCGTATTTTTTATTTTCTTTTTTTCTGAACGAGCAGCACTCAGTGACCTTAAACCACAAGTTTCCTCAGTTTTGTGTTATAAACTGCCGGGCTGCTTCTTTAGATACCAAGAAGACGCATGGGAGGACAAGCAGGACTGTGGAATAACATTTCTGATAGAAAATCAACACAGGGAGCAAACAGACGGCATCCTAGACGGCAGGAGGAAAGACAACCTGCAGGAGTCTGAGTGAAAGGCACTTTAGGACGTCTGTTAATTAAGGCAAGAAGAGAAAGTGAGGATTATTTCTTTTCAGAATCCTAGTGCAAGCATACACACACAAACACACACACCTGTGGCTCAATGGAGCGGTGAATGGGTGGGGTTGGCGCAGGCTGCATGCCACCGCTGCTGAAGGACTCGGAGCGGGGAGGGAGGGAAGGGTCGGAGATGCGGTTGGACACTTTGTGCTGCAGTGCTGGGGAGCTCTGTCTGTTCAGCTTAGATCGCTCCTCCACCTGAGACACCACACATACCACCACTGTCACTCACAGCCCAACCCTGGACACAAACAATCATCGCACTTTGACCAGCAGAGGGTCTCGGCCCCACCCACCCCAGCAACCACACAATCCACCTTGGAGACTTAATATCGCTCAGTTTCTGTGGGAAAAGAAAGACTATGAGGTTCAATTTTAAAATGCGACCTGGCTGAGAATAAAATTTTTCCAAATGGGTCATCTTTACTCTTTTTATAGTCAGTGTCTGAAAATCCTGCCTGAGTTGGTGTTTTGAGAAACATCAGAGACGATAATGACAAGTTGATGAGGCCAGTGTTTGGATTTGGCTCTTCATCTGCCACCATCTGTCTTTAAAATCTTTTTGTTCCCCGAACCATCTGTTTTGGAAAAATGTGTGTGTGTGTGTGTGTCCCACATACAGCTGAGGAATTAGGACGTTGGCATTTTGTGTACAGACTAAATCTGATAGCTGTGAGCTAACATCCAACCCACACAGTAACACTGTGTCACTTCAGACTAAAGATCTGACTAATTGTTTGGCAACGACGTTTATCCTCAACTGAAGGAGAAATAGCTGAAAGTTAGAAAAATCGAGGCTCATTGTTAAATAATGCCTTTGTAACATTTTCAAATATTTAAAATGATTTTTTTAGAATAACAAAATACATAAAACACTTATCTAACAGAAAACAAATTTGGAAAAAAATACCGCAAACCTAGGCTAATCCCCATTACCTGAAAGTTAAATCAATTAAAAAACGTAATTTAAAAAGTTTAAATTTAATCAATTAAATAAAAAAACAACATTTAACCAAGAAAATTTAACTAAAAAAACGTGTTTGCCAATAGGGAAACTAAACTAAAAAAACGTGTTTGCCAATAGGGGGCAGCAAAACAGCAAAGTTCAGGGAGACAAAACAGACACAAAACTTTCAGGGATAGATTTTAAACAAATATGTAGCAAAAGAATGCTAACGTTAGCCAAACGGATGACAAAAGTTAACCTAGAACTAGCTAAATATTATCCAAATGATTGTGTCCTGTTTTTGGACACGCACTTTTATATCACAGGCTTTACATTTACAGTAGACACATCTTTGACCATCAATTAACTGAAATTTGGATAAATATTTTGACTAACTTTTAGAAGAGCTCCTTCCCTTTGTATTTATTCAGACACCACGTAGCCAGGGTAATCAGATTATAAGATTATCCGTTACGTGGTGAGAGAAAACTCCGAGGAATGCTCACAGTCACCCTTTCCTCTGTAAACAATCCTCTCAATGGCCTGTAGGGGGATGAACTGCAGCTCAGCAAGGCACAGTATCAGTCTCCAGCCAAGTAAACATGCTTGAGAAATGGGAAATATCCCCGTGTGAGCTTTCTCTGATCCCACACGAGCTCATAATCCTGTCGGATTATTTTTGATGGTGACATAGTTGACTGTGGCATTCCTCAAAGTTGTTGTTGGTCAACAAAAAGGAGGCAACACTGTGTTCTAGAGCAGATGAAAAGATTTGTTTGCACTTCACACTAAGGAAGTTTTTCTAGAAGGCGTTTGATCTGCGAATGGACAAAACTAGGGTTAGCATCGTCACGAGCTGACCTACAGGAGATGGACAGATTATAGTTAGAAGAAAACACAAGAGAGTAGTACTGCTCTTATTCTGTACTGTGATCACCCTACTGCATGTACTGTATGCATGGCATGTGTTGTCAATTTTTTGTATGTTACCTGTTTGTTTGGGGGACCACCCAAAGGCTATTTCTGTAATGAAAATGTTGTTTCACCAAACCTGCTGCTGATACAGTTGTTCTTATTGCTGGTGCTTTCTGGTGACGGCAGCAGACACCAGTCAAATGCCACAAACAGGTTTAGCCTGGTGCGTTGTGGGTACACAGTAGTTAGCATGTGCGCTATCGCTGAGACTCGTGTTAATAGGTTGAGAAAAATAAGATGAATCCTTCTGTACGTTCGTGACTCTCTTTGACTCGTGTTAATAGGTTGAGAAAATCCTTCTGTACGTTCGTGACTCTCTTTCAGATTCCAGTTCAACCAATAAACCCTTCATAGAGATTATTTTTATTCACTATTTTTTATCTCTTGGTACTGGGTAAACAGGATGCCACAATGAGGTTCAAAATTGTTAGTCATTTTTGACCAAACACAAAAGACTTTTCTCTTTTTATATGTTATAAGAACTCACATTCGTAAAAATATGCTAATTAATTTAGCAGTTGAAAGATCCTTGGATACCTGCAATCTTATAATCTGTACTGCTCTCTGCTGCAGTTAACGCTGAGAATGTTCCCACTGTGAGACAAACAAAGGTGTTCTTATCTTATCTTATCTTATAGCTTTCAATTTGATACAAAACAAAAGTGGATTGTGAGTAAAGTCACCGAGGTCTCCAGTTTGAGTATTAGCCATTAGCACTAGCAACCAAGAGAAAATACTCTTTTAAAGTCAAGTACTAAAGCAAGGAAGGCCTATTATCGAAACACTGTCTCCTAACACGTCTACAAAATGCCGTTATTATGAAGGTAGAAGAAGAAAAACAAAGATTGAAACTTGTGGCTAACAGGATTGTTGCAAGTCTACTTTCAACTCAGCAGATTCCACATCCAACTCATGCAACGCAACAATCCCATCTCTTGGCTGTTGGAAACTTACTGAAGGGTGGAAACAACCTCCATCTTAAGAAAGAGAATCATGCTCAGGGAATATAATAATTTTAAATTCAGATATAGCCAGATATATTTAGTCTTGGTGGTCTGTAATCCAAAAGGGAGGGTTCTACAGGAGAGGACAAAAGTTTGTTAGACACACAGCAGGGACATCATGTGTTCAGTGAGGCAATGACTCGTTAGTTATCTCTCAGCCAGGTCGTGTGTGAGCATGTTTGCAGAGTCCGACTCAGGAAGGTCACACGAAGAAAAAATAAGCTCTAATAGAATCAGAGTTGCACAAACACACCTGAGAGTGCTCTCAGGAAAGGACACAGAGAAGGAGAGAAAAAAGGAAACCTCCGATTCATGGCTCACTGAAAGGCTGCTGTGGCTGAGAGAAGACGCTAACATCTACTTTAGTTTGGGTTAGAGAGTTCTAACTAAGTTCATCTAGTCTATGGATTAAGATCTACTATCAACGATGGTTGTCACTAACCATTTTAACAGCAGGGTTTAGAAGGTTGTTTGATCCAGACTGGGATTTCTGTATATTTCCTTGAGGTTGAAGAGACTTAAGCTGTAGATCTGGAGACTTTGGTCCCAGAACAGCGCCTTCTACAGGTGCAGAAAGAGGCCTGTCTCCACTCTTATCTCTCTGGTTATTGGCCCTCAGAGGATTAGGGTTGGGTGCTGGACTGGAAGGGTTCTGACTAGGGCCTTTCTTAGGGACCTGACCAGCAGACCGGCTCTGTTTCGTGGATGGTCCAGGACTGCAGCCCCTCTGGCTCAGTTTCTGGGCCCTGAACTCTCTGACCTGCTGACTTATCTCCTGTTTCCAGCCTGGATCTAAGGATTCTGGGATATATGGGAGATGGTTCGGGGGAATCTTTGGGGCGTGGGGCTGGATTTGGGATTGGGTTCGTCTGGGAGGTTGGTGTCTGGGTTGGCCTTGGCAGCAAGAGGATGACGATGATTGGTTGAATGACTGGTGATGTCGTAGTTGGGGGTGGGGCAGGTTACTAGGAGCATGCTGCTGATGCTGCTGCTGCTGCTGCTTAGGGACCTGGGTGTCAGATTCAGAGGAAGGTGAGCAACAGAACATTGGACAAGACAAAGCAGACAATAAACTCTGAATGAACTCCTAGACCTGTGCAAATAGACTTTTCCCTGCAGTGACTGTGCGTCTCATATTTCCTACTGAAAAGAATATTTACAAAACAACAAACATGAAATGTATAGTGCTTTTGTTTTTTTGTTAGTCACCTGTTACCTCAACTGTGTCTGGAGTTTCTGTTACACCTTTAGGTTTTATCCTGAGTCTAAACTAACAACAATGGCTTTAATAATAAACCCTATGTAGTTCTAAAACAGGCGTGGGCAAACTTTATGACTCTTTGGAGCATTCGTGTGATATAACATAAATGACATGTAAAAGTCATGCATAAAGGCTAAGGTGCCAAAATGCTTTTATCATTTTCTACACCATCTATTGGGGTAACATGGGTATTGCAGGGAAAAGGCAGAAGTACAATGATAATATAAATAAATAATACAATTTGGAAAAGTTTGGCGGGCCAGATTAAAAGCAGCTCCCGTGCCTGTTCTAAAACCTGGCTGCTTCATTAAAGCTGAAACAGTGCAGCTGGTTGATCAACCTAAAAATAGAGATGTCAATCATTTTATATTGGTCTCTTTGAGGCGGGTCGTCACAGCAGTGTTGTACCAGTTAATGTAGTTTTACACCAGATGACGACGATGCAGAATTATATGCAATGGCCAGTGACCAGACTACATGTGAACATTTGGGTTTGGCTGTCATCGCTTTATGTCAGTGTAAGATCAATGAAAAATAAGGAGAGAACTTTTGGAAAACTTGTGGGGTATGCTCTGTTAAGGATCAGAGCTGCATTTCAGCAAGTGGCGTTGGACACGTGGTTTGGAAAACTATGAGGAATATCATTACGTTTCGAGTCCCTAGGATATAACACAGAGTCTACATCAGTTTAAAGTAGTAGTGCTAGTAGTAGTACTAGTAGTAGTAGTCACTTTGTGTGGGTAAAACGTTGCACTGTAAATGTAGAGAGGAGTCCACAGTAATCACGTTTTCAAATGAAGCATGACAGTACTCGCCTCTTTAGCCCAGGCAGGCTTGTCATTGGGATTGATGACATCTTTGTAGTGATAGAGCTGCTTCTTCTCTGCTTGTCTTCCCTCCTGCTGCTGCTGTTGCTGTTGCTGCTGCTGCTGCTGCAGAGACACCAGTTAGGCTCTCTCCTGCTGGAGTTGCCTCTGAAGCCGCTCCGCCTGCCGCTGCTCCTCTATCTGCTTTCGTTTGTACTCCTGAAGGTGCAGACGGTGACGCAGGGCAGAGAGGACAAGAGAGATAAGAGAGTGTGAAGGAAAACCGAACAGATTAAGAAACAAACACACACACAGTCACTGATCACTTTGTTCTAGTTCAGCTCATTAATGAACAGCAGGGAGTTGCAAATACTTTCTGAATTAATTACCTCATCTATATTTACCCAAACAGTTTGCTGTCTTGTGCACTAAATAAACGTATCACCAAATATCCATAAAATATCCCCATAAAACCTTTTTAAACAGTTTAGTGTTTAGGTTTGGCAGTATTTGCAAACTCTGAATCTTCCTTTTACAGATCATGCAAAACAGACACTGGTGATTCTTCAGTCAAAGGAAATGTCATGTCAAACGGCCAGTTTGACTACAGAACATGTTTCCATTCCATTTATGATAATCTGATGTGAGGTCAGGGCCGGGGTTTGTCTTCATTTTTGTCTGACGCAGCTGTAGACAGCTTTGTTAATCCACAATGGTTTCCTGAGTCTTGGGAGCACTCTAGAATTAAATAGTGAAAATCATCATTACCCCCATGTTCTTATTACCGTCACATGCCAGTGACAGTGAATGATGATAATGGAGAAAGTGCTAGAAGGTCCTTCTTTTTTTCTTTTCTTTTCTTTTTTTTTTTTAGAAAAGGCCTATTATTAATCATAAAATATTAATAATCTCATCATCCAAAAATACAGCTTCATTTTAAATGAGGAATTCCAGCCGATTTAGAGCCAAATTTAATACTTGGTGCTGAACACATTTTGGTTTTATTTTTCTGCAACATTGTAGACCACAAAATGATTTTTATTGTCTACTGTAGCATTTAAGACCTTTTATTTTTTTGTGTGTGTTTTTGTTTTCCGTAACTGAAGAATCACATGTAACCAGGCCTGGGATGATAATCAATAAATCAATTAATCGCACTATATTTAAACATTTTGCTGGCATGGATGTATTGCATGCACGAGCCA